GGGGCGGATACATGCTAATCAAGCTGACGTTTAAACCAACGGGCTCGCCTCTATACAATCACCGCCCGGCCCCTTGTGACGTATCTGAACACGCTAGGTTGATTCGCGTTGCTTTAAGCGGGAGGTAAAGCCTTTGTGCTTATCGTGGTCCTTCTTTACGATTCATTGTCGAGATGGCGGCGACCGCTGAAGTAATGGAAGTAAGTGTCTGGGTGCTTTGTGCGAACCTTTATTTTTGCAGTCGTAAACGTCGTTTCTAATTTGAGAACTGTGCTGTGTTACGTATTAGAAATTGCAGTATTTGTCGATTCTGGCAAATCGCGGCTGTGGATTGCACGTTTGCCTTAAATGTTAGCAGCCCCTTTGTTCGGTATTTTCATGTAGGCTTTTTCTATTTAGCACAATTATAATAAACTTAATTATAATAATATATAATATAGTGTGACTAGCTTCCGCTACAACTATTGTCTGATTTCATGCTAGTTATGATTGTCTGGTTATTTCTTGAATTTAAGTATTCTGATTTAATTGAAATTATTAGTTAAATGAGCATTTACGTTGCCCGATCTTTTTACTTATAATTAGCGATACAACGTGGCGGTTCTCTGAAGCCTCTAGATAGCCAACGAGGTGGCGTTTTGTTGGCTCTGAGTGAAGCTAGCTAGCCATGTGCGCATTTTCCGGCCTTTCTTTTCCTCCCGCCCGACCGCGTGTTGGATAGATCCCTCAGTGTTTTATTTTAGAAACCCATCGCATATTATGTACTCTTAGTAGAGTTTTTGAGTATTTTCCAAACGTTTTTACATGTAATGTGATGTGTATTATGTTCATTTTTACATAGGCATGGTTTGGTGCATACATGTAGAAACCTAAATATCTTGTATGAAGGTCTCATTGAAGCTGGGCCGCGATCTTCTGACGAACTGCCTCGAGTATGAGGGCATACTAGCGGAATATAATTCTTGAGGAAATTCTGTGGTTAATATTTTTATTAGGTACATGGTTTAAAGCATGCCGGACGCTTAAGTAATTTCAGGCATGAGTGGAAATTAAAACGCAATCCTACGTTGGTTCCTCCCGCAAGTCCACGTGACCCGCCGTCAGTATGGGAAACTCCAAATGATGATCAAGTTGTACCCCCCCATCCCCCCATCCTTCTCTTAGGTGACCCCTGGGGATAGCACAAAGCCTTCAGCAGAGGACATGACCTCAAAGGACTATTACTTTGATTCTTACGCCCATTTTGGCATTCATGAGGTGAGATGAGTCATCTATTCTGCTTTATTAGATTGCCAATTACTTCACTGTGTTTAAATGTGAATGAGAATCTAAGCCTTTTCCCATTCTTTGCAGGAGATGCTTAAAGATGAAGTCCGTACCCTGACGTATCGTAACTCGATGTTTCACAACAAACACCTGTTCAAAGACAAGGTGGTTCTTGATGTCGGCAGTGGAACCGGGATTCTCTGCATGTTTGCAGCAAAAGCAGGCGCTAAGAAAGTTATAGGGGTGAGCTTGCAGCTGGATTGGGAGTGGGGTTGGATGTTAATCTTCCATAATAATATGGAGTACCAGTAACATATTTGGTTTTATCTTGTATCCCTTTTTCTCCCAGATTGAATGCAGTAGTATATCAGACTATGCTGTGAAGATTGTGAAGGCAAACAAGCTCGATCACAGTAGGTCTTCAGATTTCTTGCACTCTATTGATATTGTTAAACTATATACTTCCTACAAATGGAGATGTCCGCTGCTTCACTCTAGTGCATTTTTACCCTTTTCTGTTCTCAGTTGTAACAATCGTTAAGGGGAAGGTGGAGGAGGTGGAGCTTCCAGTGGAGAAAGTGGACATAATAATCTCAGAGTGGATGGGCTACTGCCTGTTCTATGAGTCCATGCTCAATACTGTTATCTATGCACGGGACAAGTGGCTGGTAAGGGTGCATTTGAAGAGCGGCCATGGAGAGTGAGGTATACGGTGTGTCTGTGGTATGCTGACTAAAGTAAATCTCTCCCCTTAGAAACCAGATGGTCTGATATTTCCAGACAGAGCTACACTGTACATCACAGCTATTGAAGACCGGCAATACAAAGACTACAAAATTCATTGTGAGTATGAGCTAGGTTGTTGACACTTTCTGTTATAAAAATGCATTCAAAAATTTGCCATGACGTTTGGGGCAACTGTGTCTCAGCAGGAGTTCCTGAATTCTTGCAGAAACCATATATTTTGAGTTTGTTTTTGGTAGGGTGGGAGAATGTGCATGGATTCGACATGTCCTGCATCAAAGAGGTGGCCATCAAGGAGCCTTTGGTGGATGTGGTGGATCCCAAACAGCTGGTCAGCAATTCCTGCCTTGTCAAGGTCAGTCATCTCTTATAGCGGTCTGTCCAAATGCAGCTGCTTCAGCTTTGAGCACAGAGGGTGAAGAGTTGTAGAACACTGTGCTGTTTATGGATATGAAGGTTGTGTTGTGTCTTACCTTGAAGAGTAATTTAACTGCGACAGACAAACTGACTGCAGCTACAAAATTCCTGTGTAAACTGGAGTTTATGGACATGTGCTTATTTTTAATGAGAAACCAGATATTCCAGTTTATACAGTATATGATACTAGTAAACCAGGATCTAAGTTGACTAACATTAGATCTTAATTCTGTTAGCGTGTGACAGTTGCTCCTCACCCACTCCACGTCTGTATAATAGTCCAAAAATGCTAGCCTAGGGCTGGGTACCAAACTTTGGAGCATTTCAGTCGGTAGCACAAAAGTACCAATCTTATTGAGGATTGAAAAATTAATTATTTTGGTGCCAAATTCTGATGCCCAAACAGTAAATCTCAGCGTCTGTGAGCTAATAAGCGTACAGCACACTTGTGTAAAGACCTAAAGTCACTGGTGAGTGGCTGTGTAATGTTGCACAAACATGTTGTAGAGGAGAAACGTCTGCCCAGAGACAACCTTGTGAACTGGCTCACATGTGGTGTTTTTTGTCTAAGAAATCAAAAGTGTGGCTCCAGAGTTCCAGGCTGCAACCATATAGTCGACCATATAGTCGTTAGAGTGAGATCATCAGAACGCTGCGCCATTAACAGATGTAATCTCACTCCAAACTTTTGATGGAACTTGAGAGCCCCCGTAAAATGTAAATAAGTGTGTCCCATTATGATTGCGATCGATCCCCCCAGTAACTAGCCAATTGACTAACAAAACGACTTGTTCAAATAAGATTAGTGATGTAATGTTTAATGTCTTTTTGTTGAAATTGATTTAAAAACATTGGTATTGGGGGGGAGTATTGTTCAGGAACTGGTATCATTTAAGGTATCGTTCTTGTACTGGTATTGTAAAATTTTGAACGATGCCCAGTCCTATGCCAGTGTTACCACATGGCTGAAAGTTTTCTTTGGTGTTTAGTAAGTTGATGCAGCATAGTAATGAATATTGGTAGTACAGTTACCTGTGTGCCTGCCTCTAGAAGATTTGAAATGCATTCCTAGACAATCTGAAACAGTCCCCAACAAAGCAGTAGTGTGCAAGACCACCATTTAAATCTCTTGCCAGGAAGTGGACATGTACACTGTCAAGCTGGAAGACTTGTCCTTCTCCTCCCCCTTCTGCCTGCAAGTGAAGAGGAATGACTACATCCACGCATTAGTTACCTATTTCAACATTGAGTTCACGTGTTGTCACAAGAGGACTGGATTCTCAACTGGCAAGTGTCTTGATCCTGGCATGCTCTCCTTCAGTGGTGTTTTTGTTTTTTTTGAGTCTCTCCATCTAGATTTGTGTGTAGCTCTTTGAACAAGTGGTAAATGCCTCCTTTAGTCCAACTAAAGGACTTTGGTAGAGGCCAGAACAAACTACATACGCTAGTCAACTGTTATTTCCTATATGTAGTTACTGTAACACTTGTATTTCACAGGCCCAGAGTCTCCATATACCCACTGGAAACAGACAGTATTTTACCTTGATGATTATCTGACTGTGAAGACTGGTGAGGAGATTTTTGGGACAATACATCTGAAGCCCAATGCTAAGAACAATGTAAGTTTCTTGATAATGTCATCGCAGCATTGTCATGCATCATTGGGTCTGTTTAGAATACATCATTCGTTTTTTTTCTAATCTGTTATTCTCTACTTGCAGCGGGATCTGGACTTCACACTTAATGTGGACTTCAAGGGTCAGCTGTGTGAGGTGACCAAGACCTCTGAGTACAGAATGCGTTAGGCATTGTTGGTAACCTTAATGAGTAGCAAGCTGAAATATGCAGTGTGTACATTTTTAGTACTGTACATTCTGTTTTGCTTTTGTGAAATATTTTTGTTGTTCACTGGTTTCTGATTTTAAATTTTATTTGTAAATGAAGAGGCCAAAACAGAACGGCATGGAGATATTGTGCAATAGTTACATGGAATGTATTGTATAGGAATAGAAATTTAGTGATGCTATAGTATGATAAAATGCATTTGAGATATAAGGATCTGAATATCCTTGATCCTTATGTCAAATGTCATTAACTGCACAAGTTTGTGCCTTTTTAAAATGTATCCCTGTAATACTGTACTAATGTGTAAACTGAGCGCCCTTGTTGGAAATGTTACATACTATTCACTATCTAAATTTCTTTGATTTAAGACTATTTTGCCCAGTATTTCACCCTCATTGCCTTGACAAAGGATGTTCTGAGCCCAGTAAACTGTACAACTTAACTACAATAGCAAAAATGTACACGATTTAAGTAATCTGTTGGATGGAAAAAACGACTGCATAATCTTCCTGTTAGGAAGAAATGCAAGGGAGTGAGTCATTTGGAATAGCCATTTTTGTATCATTTTAAATAAAATAAATGTCACATGAAACAAGACTCCCTCTAGTTTTGCATGCAGCTGCTTCATATTCAGATTTTGTGCAATAATGAGGGTCGTCTAATTGTATTTCCCAGTTAAATGCAGGAAAAAAGATGGTCCTGAAGAACGGTTTCATGTTGCATTTTAGTTGGGAGGTCCTACTTCACACATTACTGCACAGGTACTTGATTTGTTGCACCTCTGTATAGTGAACGGTTTTGGCCGTGATCGTTAATAGTAGTGCCAAAATGCAGTGACCTGACCTTTTGGTGCTGGAGTTCAGAGCATAAATTGGACACCATTCACACCCTTCCTGGTGGAGAAAAAGCAAGTAAAGCATAAATTTTGTAATTGCTGAGCAATTCATTTAAAATTGTCCTTCCTCAAACACTCACCATGGTCAGGGTTATGGGGGCAAAACCTGACAATCCACAATTATTCTGCTGATTTTGTTTTATATCTCACACACACACAGATCCTTCTCCAATTTGTTTTTATCAAAAATACTCGACACTATAGCAGACTCAAAGCTTTATTACTTGGGTTAAGTTTGAATATGCAAAATACCAATTAGGCCAAGAGCTTGGAATTCAAGATGTTCTCTGAAGTCTTGGATTACAGGTTATTTATGTTGACACTGGACTGTTACACATGAAAACGCTTAGAACCAAAGGCAAAAACTAACTGAACTGGTATATTCCTTGTTTCACCATTCATTTTTGGGTGTAATCCACATGAAGTGGACAATACAGCAACGGTTACATTTGGACTATTGGCATGCTTGTTGGAGTATGTCAGCCTTGCATCGAAGGATTTTGAGAAAATTGTCAATTTTGTGTGAATCCCTCCTAAAGCAGGACAACAGGAAGTGAAAGTTGACCGTTTGTGATTCAATGTCTTCTCCAAGTTTTTTGTTGTAAGCAATGGGGGAATGAGAGGACGACGATGTTCCCATCTGTGGGGAAAAAAGCACACGTTTTTAGCCTATAAAATAGATTTACCCGAGAGAAATACTTATCGATCATGTGTTTTTTTTTTCTCCGGCTAAGATGGAGGTAAGGGGAAGAAAAAAAACAAAAATCCTAAAGAAAAAGCTATCTGGAACCACAGTCCAAACTCACCCTGTCAGCCAGTGTCTTCAGTCCGGTGCTGAGGCTGTCAGAATGTTCATGCAGCTGCCTGGCTTTAGTGGAGAGCCTGTTTTTGTAGGGATGTGCGAAAGGCAGAGAGTCTGATGAGAGGGCAAGCAGGGGATCTTTCCATGAAAGGAGGAGGGTGCGGATGAGAGACA